TGTTTATCTGATTTTTCATCCATTAGGTCACAAATTTCTGCTGGTTTTCCTATTTCAATTAGGCTTTCGGTTCAGGGGCAATCAAGTCACTAAAAAGCATCTCTGTCTCCATACACAGACACCTCCTCCTAATACAGATGCTAAACCAGGGAGATTCAAGTCCAGAAAGCGCCACAAAAATCTGTAACATAACTGGGGAGGCAATGTGGTGCCCTCCAGATCTTTTGGGCTACAGTTCCCATCAGTCCCAGCCAACATGAGCAATGGCCAGGAACTGTAGGAACTAGAAATGGAATGGGAACTGGGGGTTGGCCCAGAAGCCTCAGGAACATGGGGACCTGCCTCATTCTGAGGCAGACCATTGATCCACCTGGCCCAGTCATACCCACATTGACTGGAAACAGCTCTCCAATGTTTTCTCTATCTGCTTAATTTAAAAAGGTAAACTGAGAGAACTGTCAAGAAAATAGAATAGATGTCATCACACAAGCGTTCTGGAAGGGACAGAAAGGGGGTTTCATGTAGGGTGGGTGACATATACACCTCCAAGTCAGGAATTGTTACTGGTGGTGGACAAGAAAGGCACAAAGATGTGATCTGTGTACCTTCAGGATGAGTGATATGCGACATGAGTAGAATTTGAAAGCCAGTGGGGTGTGTTTGTTAGTATACTGGACTGGGGGACCCAGGAGATCTGGGATTAGTTCCCATTCAGCCATGAAGCTCATTGGGTGATTTTGGGACAGCAAGTGATTTTCATCCTAACAAACCTCACAAGGTTGTTGTTGTGAGGATGAAATGGAGTGAAGAACTGTGTAACTGATTGTGGTTTCCCCACAGAAGAAAAGATGCAGGATATAGATGCGATGTAATGCAATAATAATATTCACTTGGGCTATGTGGTGAAGTGGCCTTTTAAAGACTGACAAATCATCGGTTCATTCATCAGCACTCAAGGGCTTGTCTGCATATTGCAAAAGCTCACTGTTGCTCAATTTACCTGTGAGGGCTGTCATGTTTTGCCAGGAACTTGGCATGGCTTCTTGTCATGCAAAGGCAGGCAGCAAGCCATGGGTTTCTGAGAGAGTTCTAAGAAGAACATTACTGCCTGAATTTGCACAAGCCAGGCACCCACAGGTGCCCAGCATGATGTGATAATGCCCATGGGTAAAGTAAGCCATGGTGGGCTGTTCCGACATGCAGACTAGGCCACTGTGTTCTTATACATCTTTTGCTTGTCACACCATGTGCTGATGGTGAAACAGAATGAATAGCATGACATCACCAAGCCATCTCATCAGGCAATCATTGAGTGAATGATCCACTCAACCAGTATGCTAAGGGATGCCCAAACTAGCTTTTGTCCTTGTAAAGCCCCTATTCCTGGTCTCTCCTGTAGGTTTTCCTGTTTTTCTGTATAGTTCATACGAGGGATAATACACCTATAAACATCACATTGCAGAACATTCTCAAAAAGATAAGCGCATTGGGGTCTGCCTTATACTGAGTTAGTGGAGCAGTAGGTTGGACTCAATAGCCTTATAGAGCCCTTCCAACTCTACCTCTGTTCTAGTCTGTTCTGTTCTAACCAAGAGCCTTGGGTCTATTCAGCGCAGTATTGCTCAATCTGAGGCAGGAGATTTCCTAGTCTTATCTGAGGATGCTCTGGATTTGACCTGAGGCCCTCTTCATGCATACCAGATACTGCACTAGTGAGTAACAGTAGCACTGACAGCATGCAAAAGACAATAACCTTGAAAAGTACAACAAAATAGTTCATATTACATTCTGGAACTGCAGGCCACATGGCATTTTTCTATTGCCTGTAACACATAAGAACAAATGGAGGCCCTTTCCAAAGAGCACATACAGATGAGCCTTGAACCAAAACATCTTTCGTATCCAAGGAAGCCCTAAAAGACTTTAATCTGGCCTCATGTCTTCACATGTACTGCAACTGTAAATCTAGCAATGCTTAGGTCCTTTCTGGCTTCCATTCCTCCCACAACTGCCATGCAACCCCTCCCAACTACTACGTAATATAGAAATATGTAGTATCCATGATACAACAATGTTTAAGTGTCACTGGTACTGTCACAACATAACCTGGAATAGGTAGTATTTGACACATTGATCCCACAAAATGTAAGAGACATAAAATGCCTTATGAGATTTAAAAAAAATTACAACACTGGTCAGTTACAGAAGGTGGAAAAAGTCCCAGATGCCTTATTTCTCATGCAACTAACTTTGAAAACCACAGTTAGCCAATACCTGTTTAGAACCAAAGAATATGCCCATGAAGTGTTCAAGCTTCTGAGTTCTCCAGAACTCTTAAACAGCCTAGATTGTACCAAAAAGAGGGATTGGGGGAAGAAATAGAAGTCTTCCTCCACTGCTGCCTTAGATATCATATAGCTAGGTGACATTCTAGAGAACTCAAACATTTGCACATTTGTTTGGTCTTGATAAAAGTATTATCCAAGCGTGGATTCTGGATTTTCTTTTCCTCCAACGTCGGCATGGCTATCTTTTAAAAATTATTTTTTAAATTATTTTTTAAATTATTTTTTAAATTATTTGAAGTACCTGATGGCCTAGCTGCCAATGTGTAGCACTTCATAAACAAAAAGACTTATCCTAAAGAGTTCATTAATTTGCATAAAGCCATAATAAAACAGATAAAAATAGCTTCTGTTCAAATAGACATCTTGAAAGGCCAAGACGTTTTAGGAACCTACGTCTCACAAATTCAGGGCAAAGCAATCATGGAAATGCAGCGTTAAGGTTAACCAAATTAGTGCTGTTATTAAGCAAAATTTTACTTTGAAAAATTATAACCAGTTGTATATGCAGCCCCATAAACATAGCTAGACAGAAATACATAGCACAAAAACAAAACAAAACAAAACAAAACAAAACAAAACAAGAAAAACATTCTTTATTTCCACCAAAAGGATTGGAATGGCCTAAGTTCTCAATATATTTTTGACTAAGTGACCAACCTAAGCATATACGCAACATCTCAGATATTGATCAAAATCTGTCTTTTGTACAATTGTCTTTCATACCAGAATATAATGAGCACATAACAACATCAAAAGCACCATAGAATAAAACTTTCCAACAATCACAAACAGGATCACGCAATTTCATTAAAGATTATCTAATCAGAACTATCGCCACTCTTCAGCTCAGGATCCCTAACAGGATTTAGAGTCATTGTTGCCATGCGCTGAAAGTGCAGGAAAATGCATGCTCAAACCAATTTTTAATCCTGTCCTTTAAAATGTATGAAAGTGCAACAAAACTCAGTTGAGTAGTCTTGGTATGCTGCCTTACTCTGATCTACCAAGAAATGCAGTTAAATGTCCTTCTGCTGGATAAGGGAAGATAAATGTCCAAACACCACTTCATGTAACACACGTGTTTCAATAATATGGTTGTTTTCTGCTGATTGACTTTATATTGTCTACCCTTGACTTTCAACCAAGTCAACTCCCCACTCCCACCTGCACTGCCAACCTTCTCATGTTAAAACTTGATCTTGAGCATGTTAAAACTTGATCACACTGAGTGGTCTACATCACCCTTTGCTTTACAACGCCCTCTGCTTTTCTTCCTCTGGCCTTCCAGATGTCATTGTGCAGGTCAGGTGCCCTGGAGGGCAATAGTTCCAGTGGAACTTTCTTTTCAGTACACAGGCAAGGCAAAGGGAGCCATACAGGCTTGGAATAAAGATTCAGTGCAAAATATATTAATCTAATGTTGACACTCAGCCTACTGCAAGGTTTTTGGCCCTCTTGTTTTGTCCTGGACATGATCTGAAGTCCCTAGACAAAGCCACTAGGAGCCAGTAACATCTGCTGAAAGGAAGAGCAATACAAAACTGGGAGGGAAAAGTGAGGGGCTGGAAGTCTGTGAGAAACTTCCTATCCTTTCATATGTCTGCGAATGCAGAGAGTGCTAAAAGAGAGGCAACTGTACACAGCTAATCTAATGTGTATATACACATTCATGCGCATACCAGTCCCAGATTATGATGTCCTTCAGCACTGGTGTGTTAAAAGTTCAAGGGAACTTTTACAATGTAAGTTTAAGGAAGTGTTTCTAACTTCCTTAAACACTAGACTTTAGGAGTTATTTCAAGGTGTCCTTAGAATACACAGCACCTGTGACTTTCCAATCATTCCAAATTCTTTAATAAAGCTCAGCTCTTTATGAATCATTAGTAAGATGGGTTCTAAGAAAGAAAACCTTAGAAGTTTTCATCTGGGGTGCAATTTTTTGTGCCACACTGATGGGGGATTTTTCTTATTGCTTGTCTCAATAGAAATATATGTAACGCAGTTGAAAACTGTGACAAATATTTGTATAAAATCACTTCCTCTCGCTAGGTAGCGAGAAAACGCGCAGTCACCACTTTCTGATGTACACACTTCTGCAACATTGTAATTTTAAATAATGGACCCAGATCCCCCCCCCACATGCACACATACACACACTGCTTGAAAGAAAAGGACTTCTGAACTCCATCTTCTACATCTTTCTGTCCCACAACACACGTACAGAAGTGCCAGGAGAACGGGAAGAAGATGGCCGTTTCTGATCCGATATAAAAGCTCTTTTGTTGAATTCACACACAAAAGCCAAGAATCGCTTTTCATTTCTAGGCCCTGAAGGAAATGGAAGGCAATGGTCCTGCTGCTGTACAGTACAAATGAAGAACCAAACGTTTGAGAAGGGGCACTGAGAGTTCAGAACCCACACTTTAAAAAAAAAGTAGAAAGGGATTCGGAAAAGCAAAGTGGAAATCTGCAACTTTCCTATAGGTGCTATTCAATCTCTTTTATTCCTTGTAGAAAGGAGGAAATGTAATCCTAGCAGGTCCACCACGGAGATTGTTTAAGGAAAAAAAAAGGGGGGGGGAGAAAAAACACAACCAACCAGTTGATCCGTTCAGGAGCAGCAAAAGTAGCAAGCTGGCTGTGATCACTTACTTGTCCGTCTCTTGTGACATGTTTGATCCAATGAACTTTCTCCCCTTTTCCAGCTGCCTCAGTCTCTCTGGTGAAACTGGACTTTCAAGTCTGTGCAGGTAAAGGTGTGTGTGTGTGGTGTGTGTGTGTGAGTGAGAGCGAGCGAGCGAGCGCCCGGGACGGCAGAACCAGAGCTACTGGTAATTCTGCTTTTCTTCCCCCCCTCTACTTCTCCCTCAGCCAGCCGCAGAGGTAGGAGTGGGACAGGTAAAGCCCCCTTCTCCCCGCCCCTCGCATGTGGAAAGGAGACTGGCTACGCTCGGGCTCTCGCCCTCCCTCCCCCTGCTGTTCAGGGCACCGAGCAGGGAAGCTGCAAAAATCTAAAGGCGCCTACAGGTAACTTTCCTAAGACGAGTTGGATTCTTTCACTAAAGGATACGAGGCATAAGGGACGAGCTGCGAGCTGATTGGCAGAGGGAGCCCTCAGGTGAGCAGCCATTGGAAGAGGCGCGCTCAGGTAAGGCCCTGGCTTAGAACTCCGAGCGAACTCACCCCGTTGGAAAGCGGGACTGATTGAAGGAGAGTCGTGTGGAGGGCGGGGGGTTGGAGAGAGACGCTCGAAGGGGAATTGCGTGCCAGGGCAGGCGAGGCCGGGCCGGGCCGGGCCAGGCCTGGTCGCGTAAGCCGCTCCATCAACCTGAACGAGCGGGCTGTGAGGATGAGCCAGAGGCGGCTGGGCTCGCTGGAGGCTGGTGTCCAAAGCGCGGGAGGGGTAGAGAAGAAATGGAGACGGAGGGAGAGAAGCCACGAGCTTGCCCGGAATAACCTAGGCTTGGGACGAGAGCCGAGTCAGCGGCCCTTGCGCACTTCGCGTTGACTCGGGGCTATTCTCGGGGTGCTCAGCCGCCGCCGCCGCCTCCGCCTCTGCCGGCTTCGCTCGAGCGCAGCCAAAGCGAGGGAGCAAGACTGCCAACCACCGCGGAGGCCAGAGAGAGCTCAAGGCACCTGCCCGATCACGGACCTATAAAGCGCAGGGACTGCTAGACAGGAACGGCCTGTCTAAATCCTTCCACCAGTGGTTATCTGTCCTTACATAAATGCCTTTCCCCCAAGGTGGTCTGGGGTGGAATGAGTGTGTTTTACTGTCACAGCAGGATTTACAGGCCTGCCCAGGACCGCAAAAGACACCAACTAAGACCTTTACTCAGCTGTAATCCTCATTTTGTACGGATTTGCTTTTTGCGGGAGCCTTAGCTAGTTGAGGTATGACAGAGTAAAGGAAGGCTCATCCACCACCTACCCCCATTCTTCAGCTGGAAACTTTCCGAACTACTTCCTTGTGTAAGACTATTGCATATTTTCCTCTTTCTCATTCACACATGTACACACATGCAAAAGTACACACAAACATTCCTTTACTGGTTTGCAGGTACTCTAAGCTCAGTGATGAACATGTGCGGGAAATAATTTTACTTGAAATATTTGTATTTTCCTGCCTTTAGCTCAAACCACAGACCACCAAGGTGGGTGACAGTAAGTTAAAATCAATACATAATTAGCTTTTTAAAGGCAGCGGTGACTTGTGAAATCTTTCAGTGGGCTGGAAATGACAATGATGGGAAATGTCTACATTCTAAGCCTTGGATTCTTTAATACTTAGTTCTTGCCTGCTTTCAAGAGTATTCACTCTATATAGGCCTTTTGTTTGTAATGTTTTTCATTACCTGGAAATGAAATACAGGATCTTCCAACATTTTGACTATTGGACTTGTCTTAGGAATGACTCAGTGACATGGTGATAAGCAATTCAGGATGCAGTACTTACTTGAGAGTAAGTGCTGTTGAAGATTGAGTTTCATGTAAGGTTTAGACAGTATTTGTTGGGAACAGTCACTTGTGTATTATTAAGAATAAGCAACAAAATAAATGTACCACAAATGACGAAAATTAGAATTTATTATTAGGTGGGCTAGTAGGAATGCATTGTGGGCTATTAATGTTTATGGGCTGGTTTGCATGGCAGAAGTTATTGCAAAATTTACCTCTGCAAAATGTGACAATAGCCACTGCTCTGATTGTTTTTGCAAAAAGGGGATTAGATAACATCATAACAATAGGTACACTATTGGACATCTTCATTAAATAGAGCCAAAAAACACAGTGACCCAGTTCACATGTCATGCTAACCAACAGTGGATTGTTGTCACCGTGGGTGATTGCAGGATGACTTAACATGACATGGCAGTGTCGCTTTTCTGGTGTGGGTGGCTTTTCAAAAGCAAGCCACTATGAGAATTCAGCACAGGTAGTTTAAAATGGCAAGAGAGTTGCTTGGCCAACATGGCAAAAAACCCTCTCTATTCTACACTGAAATGACACCAGTCAGTTTATTCTTCCATTTTGTCACTTAACTAGACCCCTTTTCATAACCTTAAGGAAAATTTGCACAAATATAGCATTACCTCTCCTTCAGGGAGATGTGCACATATCAAACATCCTTTCCACTTTCAGGGAGATATGTGCGATTGGACATTACTTGTTTCCACTTCCAGAGAGATTTGGACGAATTTAATGCTCTTAAAAAAAAAACAAACTAGAGACATTTGCACAAATTAAACAGGGAGATTTAACATTTGCACCTTTAAGGAGATCCTCCAAATTTAACTTTTTCAGGAATGCTTTCACAAATACATTTTTAAAAATTTCAGATAGATTTGTGCAAATATGCAAAACTACAGTAGCAATAAAATAACATTACATTTACACAAATCTCCCCAGGGTGATATTGGTGGGGAATCTATAAAAAAAACCTCTGCTTAGCAGAATACTGGAGAAGGCTGCTGAGATTATTCCACAAAGTCCCATGGCATTTGTGCCAAGACTGTGGGGGTGGACTAAGTTGGAAACAAGCCGCAGCAAGCTGTGGAGCACCTATTTTTCTGTCAGGAGGAAACTGAACAAACAACCCACCATGGCTCAGTTTCAGGGTGGTTTGTTGTGATGTGCAAACCACTCCAGAAAGGCTATCAACTTTATGCCCTACTTGTGGGGGTCCAGAGAGTTCTAGATGATCACTGTTATGGCCTGATGAATAAGACATTAATGTCAAATAAAACCTTAATTCAAAATCTATTTCATTTAGAAGGAAATTCTGCTTGCTGATTTAAATAAAATGTGCTTTCAAAGAATGTGAGCTTAGGCAAACAGCCTAATATCTTAATTCTAAATATATTTACAGATGTAAATCCCTCTAAAATTTAAGATCTAGGTGCTTCTTGGTTTAAATACTTTGTTTTATAGATAAAGCTATAAATCAAAGTCCTGTTCAGTATAGTTTTACATTCCTTTCCAGACATCTGCCAAGCCCCTGTAACCTTTATTTGTGTAAATAAAACCCTACAATGAACAAACCTAATCAGAGTGACTTCTGAGACAGATCAAAGCCCTGTCCATCCACTTAAAAATCAATTGATGCTTACAAGAACAGTTAGAGTAAGGCTGCAATTCTAATCACACATCAGGTGGGAGTAAATAGCATTAAATAGCTAAGGATTTGCCTAAGAACAAGTTGCAGATTTATTTACTGTTCTGCTCCACAACCATTTATTTGGCTAGTTTGTCTAATAGCTGCAATTTTGCTGTGGCAGAAAGGAACCAATTTAAAAGGCAACTTGTCTTCATATCAACCTGCCTCACATATGCATATTTTGCTCTATTTAATAGTATTGTTTGGGCTTGTCTGTTGAGGACAGAGAATCAGGTATTCAAATAGGGTTTAACTAAGGTTACAAATTATAATTATAAGCACCTAAAATTATGTGTTATGGAAACGGCTAAAACAAATCTATGGGATGAAAGATGCTAATGGCTTGTATTTGTATCAAAGCACTGCTGTTAACAGTGAAAAAGCACAGATGTTTGAGCAACCCATTGTCTTAGTAGAAGGGGAGGCTTACCATGCGTTTGTACTTCTGTGTTGCTATGTCACTGTCAGCTTCTGTGCCAGATTCCAACTAGGAACACCAGATACAAAGCCAGCTGCTAATTTTGCAACAGGTAGCACTTATAGTTAATCTCTCCTACATCTTAAAAGTTAGTAATCATGCTTTTATCATTTGTATTGGGGGCTTTTCTGACTAATTAGGGTCAAGAAAAATTAGTTCATTTTATCTCACCTTTGTAAAACATGTAAATTTGACTAAATTTCTTCTGTTGTTTGATCCTTTGTCACTTTTGCTTTTGTTTGATGGCACACAGTGATGTATATTATGAGTTAATCTGAGAAGTTGTGTGGAGGATACTGTGTTGGCACATGAAAAAATGTACTTTCATTTTTATGATTCCAGCAAAATGTCTTAATAGAACTGACTTTCTGCATAAGCACCCTGATAATGTTTATGCAGAAATAAACCCAAATCAGTGCAATAATGGAATTCTTAGCAAGTACATCTAAGGCTGCAGCATTGTTCAATTGATTCTCATGGCCCTCCTGAGGCTAACTGCATATAGAAAAATCAAGAATTAAAGGGATATCATCAACAATATTCTGTTTATCAAACAACACTCGGTTACAATGGAAATGCTGGTTATTGTTTTTGTTCTGCTTTTATATTGAAGGTAATTGTCATAGGGTTGGATTTTTCAGGGTAAAAAAGGGACAATATAAGCATCAGCCTTAAACATTGGCATCTATGGTAAATTGTTAATACTTTCTTTCAAGCTATGTAAAGCAATCATATGGGTACAGCATCAGTGATTACTGAAAATGGATAATAATTTGCATCATTAATACGAGCAAGTGTAACCACTGTATTCCCAGAATGGTAAACTTTTCTCTATGTATGGAAGCTATGTGGTATTAAATGTACCTATCTGCTGGACTTTTTAATTTATTTTTAAAATTTACATCCCACTTTTTTTCTTACAAAGAACTCAGAGTGGCTCACCTCTGTTCACAATACACCTCACCTCACCTCACGATACACCTTCTCCTGTTCTCAGTCTTATCCCCACAACAACAACCTTGTGAGGTAGGCTGGGC